TTTAGGCATGCACGATGGTCGTGCCAGGGTTAGAAGGCGACGTGGTGAAAGGAGAAATCCACAGTTTTTATTAAAATAAAACCATTTAAACTGGGTGTTCAGATTTATATTTCACTTAGTATATGACTGAATAAAATACACCACCTTCAAAAGGAACCAAGTTTCGTAAAGTATACTTTTATACTTTTACGTGTATTTGGTACTTTCATGAGAATCTCAATTGTTACCACAATGTATAAATCTGCAGAGCATCATTTTGTACAACACACATTTGTTTGTTGGTCCACCATCACAACAAATTTTATTCTCAACTGAAAACTAAGTGATAGTAAAATGGACGAGAAACATGTGCTAATTGACCAAATTAGGTGTGAAAACAAAAACAGACTTAGTATATATACTACTAATAATATCATGTTAACTCATGAAGGAACCCTTGCCTTGGTCCCGAATCAGGAGCGTAGCAACCGGCTATCAATGATGGGGGACCCCGAGACTACAGAGGTCTGGGCGACACATCGTGTGAAAGAACAAATGCGTAAAGTGTTATCCACAAACTCAAGCATTTTTAAACGCGAAATCCTTAGATTGTATGGCTAGGTTATCATAGCATTGGCCTTCGACGAGTGCGACACTGTACACCCTGGTTTATTCCCTCCACTCCAGGGCAAATTCGGAATAATCGGTCATATCGATATTGATTCAGGCCTTTATTAGATATCTGACAACCTTGTTGGTTTTAGTGTTGACATCTGGGGATCAGCAAAAGAGACAATGGTAACCTAATTAACCTAATTGCTGGGCTTCGCCTTCTATCGCTACTACTACAACTACTACCTCATAATAGGCTCACAGATCGTTGACGATATGTATATTAAGTGACATATAAATCCGAACACCCAGTTTAAATGGTGTCATTTTAATAAAATTTTGTATAAGTACTTAATGAAGCATAATAAGTAAATGATAAAAATTTCAAAATGATTGCACTGCTTTAAAGCCCTTTGACCTTTAATAATGTGTGGATGCACCCTGATATGCTACGCATTCTCCAACGCGCCTAGGCATGCTTCTGATCAGGTGGTCAATGTCCTCCTGTGGTATCTCATTCCAGGCAACCACCAACTCCTCTCGAAGTGCTTCTAGAGTCTGAGGAGGACGTTGCAAATTGAGCAATCTCCTACCCATCCTATCCCACACGTGCTCAATTGGGGATAAGTCGGGAGATCTTGGTGGCCATGATAACAATGTGACGTCATTATGTTGAAAGAAGTCTATTGTGACTCTTGCAACATGTGGTCGGGCATTATCTTGTTGGAAAGTTGGATCTGCCAGGGTGTCAAGATAGGGTAAAAGATGGGGTTCTAGAACTTCGTGGATATAACGCTGCGCGTTCATGTTACCTCTGAGGTAGGAAAACAAGCCAAAACTTCTCATTCGTCGGTAAACACTTCGCATGCCAATAGGTCTTCCGTGTTCTGCAAACCATTCATTTGCAATGGACCTGGTAGTGGAGAAACGGTCCCTTAAGGCCAATAATCTTAGGCGGCGATCTTCACGGTCTGTTGTTCTACGGCGGCGTCCAGTGCCCCTTGCTCTTTGCGTACGGCCTTCTCGAAGCCATGCCTGACAACACCTAACCACAGTGTCTACACTTCTTTGCACTCTAACTGCAATTGCCCGAAAAGAAAGTCCAGCTTCCCGAAGTCCCACTATACGGCCCCATCGTAACCGATCGTAAAGGATGTCAAGAACCAAAATCCGCCAACGTTGATTCTTTACTGCGGCTGAAATATTCATTTTTAGAGCGTTAGTGAATTAAAAAAAAGCAGTATAAAAACCGGAATGTCCAACTGATAAGGCTGAACATTTTTTCACTTGTTATTTACAGTAAGATAAATACATTCACCAACTTTTATTAAAATAAAACCATTTAAACTGGGTGTTCGGATTTATATGTCACTTAGTATACATGAAAGAGGCATCCTTACAATTTTTGAGTTACTCTCTGCATCCATCGATCAAATAAATTTCTAACAATGGTTACTTAATGCTGAAAATTTAACCAATCTCCGATCCTAACAATTCACTGGCACTGGCAAAAAACAATTTACGTACGAGTAAGAAGAAATTGTCTTCTTTAACACTTCAACCAAACCTCGTTCCAAGGCATTACTGCCAGATATCAAAATCGGGAATTAACAAAACCCATATAATTAGATCGGCTGAGTCTAGCTTTTAAGGAGAAAAAATCAATAGAATGACAGCATGCCCTAAAAAAAACTCTCCTGTAAGTCAATCCCGTAAATATCCCCTTCCTTTTTTCTGTAAATTGCTTCAACAATAGTGAATAGCGAATTCCTTGCACAGTGTAGGTGCCATATTCCACTTACTTCCCAAGATTCATAAGGATTTGTTTGTGAATGGGCGCCCGTCGGAACTATTCCCGAGAACGGGGGTATCTCAGACAAGAGGCATTTTTTATGAAAGGGTATTGGGCCCCTAGATTACAATAAGGCCTTCGACACAGTTCAACGGAAAATGTTAGTACTTTAACAGAAAAATGTCGACACCAGGGACATCCGAATAATAAGTAATCTCTACAACGGACAAGACCTACAGATCGTATAAATAACATTTTGGCAGTCAAGATAAAAGTTAAAAGAGGTATCAAAAAGGGCCATGTTTTATCGCAAATGCTATTTAATATACAGGGTGGCGCATCGAAAACGAAACAGACGCATTTACTGGCAGCTCAGTTTTTTTTTGGAAAAACGCTCAGACCCGTCGATTTTGTTTTCGAGGGGGACACAAGTTTGGCAAAAAATAACGTTAATACGTGCAGCCCCCTGGGCGGGGGTGACACCATCCCTAAAATCTTAAATGGAAAGGGGGGTCGAGTGATACCTTATTTTAAAGGTATTTCAATTCCCTTTATAATGATGTAAAATACATGAGCTTCAGTTCAGTAGTTTTGAAGATTTATTGATTTAAAGCTTAAAGTAGACTTTAGTAGGTACATCAGATTAGTTTGTAATACTTTCAGAAGAAATTTGACTAAAAGAATGTACTTAATAAGTAAATGCTTTTCTTCACTACGCCCATGGTTTGTTTATCATTTTGTTGTTAAAAATAGCTATTGGAGCGTTTTTTTGTGGCAAAAAAGTTATTTCTTGAAGAAAGTTAAGGAAATATCTCGTACTTATTTTAAATAGGAATTTAGTACATAGTTTGCGATTGATTTGACCAAACTTTGTTGCTAAAATAACTTGTAACGCTTTATTGCATAAATTAACCATGGTATATTCCACAGCAGAAAGAGTTGAAATTATCGAAATATTTTTCGGAAATAACCAGTGTGCTAATAGAACAGCAGAAATATTTAATGAGCGACATGGGAACAGTAACGTGCATCGAAAATATGTTCTAGAGCTTGTAGCTAAATTTCGGGAAACTGGGTCAGTCGCCAATAAAAATCGCAACATTGAAAATCCCATAAGGAACGAAGCAATAGAAGTGGAGGTTTTAGGGCAAGTTTATGTAGATCCTACGTTAAGTACCCGCAAATTGGAGACTGTGTGTGGTGTTAGTCGACGTACTGTCCAACGGATTCTAAAGGCCCATAGTTTTCATCCGTATAAAGTTCACCTGGTACAAGAACTTAATGAAGGCGATTTTTATCGGCGATTACAATTTTGTGAAGATATGAGTGAACGAATTATAAACGATGAACATTTTCTATTGAACACTTGCTTTTCCGACGAATGTTCCTTTTTCTTAAATGGCGTAGTCAATCGTCATAACTGCCGATATTGGTCCGATTCTAATCCCAGAATTTATCATGAGGTTCATACACAGCAGCCACGAAAATAAAATGTATTGGCTGGTACTTTTGACGATCATTTAGTTGGTCCTTTTTTCTTACCTGGAAATTTGACCGGTGAAATGTATGTATATTCTGAAGAATTATTTACGAGAGCGCATCAAGACGACACAACTAGTATAAAAATGAATTTGCACCCTTGTGAAATATTCGATTCTAGCAGAAAATATTTAAATCTTCAATGAACATCAAACAAAATTGATCATAATCCCACGTTAACAATGTCAATTTTTAGGTGAAAGATCAACAGATAGACAGGGTGAGTTACTATAACTGTACTTCAGAACAAACGTCAACGAATAGATTGATGGCACAAAGAAAATTAGGAACAGAACAAAAGTGGATTGGATTTGGGATTACGAATGCTCCGAAGATATGTGTTCTCGGTGTATTTGTATTTTTGGACTAGAGGCTGTATACAAGATAGATAGATTCCTTTGACATGTGTACATTCCGTGGAGTGCTAAAAATGTCGTGAAAACAAAGAATTACAATACTAAAGACATATTGCCCGTGGAGAGAAATACATGTGATCATACAGGGTAAACTTCGAGGTGAACCAAATTTTGGCAGAAGAGGTATTCCCTGATTAAGAAACCTCAGAGAATCGTTTCGTTGCTCAACTGGCTTGTGTAGCAGCTTCAAAGTTCAAGATGGCATTGACAAATAGCCAACCTTCGTAGCGGCATGGCATGTGAGATGAAGATCAGCCCCGAAAACTTTTTAACGAGCAGGGGTAGGAAATTTTCTCAGAGGAGACCAAATCCTAACAATCCCCAATATCTTGCATAAAACCATGCTAAATATGTAGATTGTAAGGGCCAACTAGGGCAGATGAGTGCTAAAGGTAATGTGTAGGTTTAATGGTCATAATAGACAATGGTCAGTTAGGCTTTTCTACGGAAACTCAACTTCTGGGTAGTACCGAAATTAGGGTGTAAACTTTTTTCCATATTTTCTTTCGAAAATCACCCTCACCCCCAACGCAGTCCCGAACGGCAGACTTTCAAACCTCTAGTTCCAAAGGCGACCATCTCAAAAACTCACTTGTTCTATATGTTCGACCTTTGAAAGTTACACATCACGTTTTTGTGCTAAATTGATATTCTATTAACACTGATAACAAGAAAAAAGAATCCTCATCATACTTCCATAGGCTATACGTACCTATTTTTTACGTTACACTAAGTATCACAGGTATAGTCACTTTAAAAAAACACTGAATAGTCTCATGAATAGGTCGTCAGTTGGTATAGATCTGGTCTCGCACTATACAGAGTGATGAGGAGGACTGGGTATAAAGCAAACAGGTTTAATGTTTATACTACAAGACCACTGCATGCATTACAAATTATCTATCCAACGAAGTGAGATATCGAAGTGTGGACGAGAAAATGCCGTTATCAGACATAGGCGTAGCAGTGATTGGGTAATTAAGGTTACTTTTTATACTTAATGCATTGACAAAATATTTTACTAATGACAAAATATGTTCAGTAAGGCTAGCGAGTATACAGTCAGGAACAAAAATATTATTGTGAGGTATTGTAGTCACGTTACGGGAAAATAGAAACAGTAGCAACCACTCAAACGTCCCCCGACAAACGTCGGCTTCTGGACAGGGATAGAAGATCACTCGACCTTTTGGTGACAGGCACTTATCTCTTTTAAGGGTGAAAAGAAACCCAACATGCTCCAAGTGCTGGGAGGAGGACGAAACAGTGTTCTACTTTCTGAGCCATTGCCCCGAATATTGCAGTTGGTCAAGCTGCTTATTCATCGGAATGGTCGGACATCCTGACCGTCTTCAGGACGTCAGCATGGTTCGACAGCTTCATGAATTAATTCCTAAGGAGCAGTGTGTTGGTACACTCGGAGTCAGCAAAAAGGGGCACGGGTAGCTTACCTGTCTGGCTTTGCCTCTCTACAACTACTACTGCCGCGATACAGGTTATAATTTCGGAATGATCAAATGAACGAAGATATCGCTACTCGTATACAATTTTGTACATATAGTACGAACACCGTAACCAATACATATAAAGATATTCGTGGATAAAACGTTAGTGGCGCAGTAACCAGGATATTTTGATCTCGACAGGAAAAGGAAGTAGAACATTTGCACCTGTACCTTTTCTGAAAACGTAAACTGTTCAACTTAATCACTGGTTCACTTCATTTGATCATTTAGCACTATCACTTGTTTAATTTCATTGCGGTTTTTAAGCAGTTGTACCGCTACAATTGAATGTGCTGCACCAGCTCTTATCGTTATTTTTCTATGTTCTCGCGTTATTATGCTTCCTCGAACTGATTATATGGTCAGGATGACGTATCTGACGTCTGGCCTCCTTGTGCAATTTTTCTCATACCGGTAGAGTTCCAAGAATAACCGAAGCAACTCATTCTGAACATCTATAGAGATTAACTTAAAAGACTTGCTTAATTTCTATCAGATGTGCCACTTGGTCGCCGGTTCCACATGTTAGGCAGTAGGGAACATTTTCCTTTGAGACACATTTTTTGGAAGTCTTACAATCTTTACTTTATAGAAATTCATTTTCTAGTTGCCTTTTTATAACTTTTCTAAACTGCGTAATTTTATGTTTTGCAAGTTAGGCCATCATGGACTATAGAAATGTTTTTAGAATGTTGCCGATTCAAACTGTTCCCTATGTTACATTATGCGGGAAGTAAGTGACATTAGACTGTAAGACGTGTGCTCTTGTCGCTCGACTTCAGCAAATCCTCTGGTCTGGATACGATTCCTGCCGTTGTATTGAAGAGGTGTACAGCAAGTCTTGCTCCAGTTCTATCTTACGAATGCGGTACCTTCATAAACAACACAACTCAAAAAAGGCTACAACTACAAGCCTAGCTCTGCTTTCTGTTAAGCCGCGTACAGACAGCGATTCCAACAACAAACGGCAATGTCACATGTGCTTGCATTCGTTTACTCAGCGTTGGATTTTCGGTCTGTACGCGACTTTATAAGTAAGGTGACGGAGAGGTGCATAAATCGCAAGCTTGTCAATAACGACAGCTGCTGGGAAAAGGCTAGGCTATTGGTTTAGGGCTAAGAAGTGCTTCTCGCCACATGATCCCTCACTCTGTACAAGGCACAGAGATGTCCTAGCCTCGAGTTCTGCTCACCTGTTTGGGGTGCTACCGCACCGACTATATTATCCATGTTCGATGCTGTTCAGAGAAGGAGCGGCCGTCGGCTATCTAGCTCTCTTCTACCGCTAGGCCAATGGGATTTGCTCCTCAGAGCTCTCCTCCATGATGCATCAAATCTTCTAAGCAGTGGCATATAGTTTCTGTAAATTTGAAACATCGATGATTGTTGCTAAAGTTGAGAAGGACCGCGGCGTGTACATTCACACCCAATTCGAATTAGAAGTGAATTTGGAGGCTGTGAGTTTGGCGTTTAATTAGATCTTCAGCAATATAATTGCAGGTCATGTATCAATGGCACTTTTAAGAACAGGATCCTCCAGTGTTGCCGAACCTACCGAGTTTTCGGTACTTCTACCGAAATAATACCTTATTTACGGAAATGCCGGAAACGTACCTACGATTTTTTACAATAATTCAGATATTTTCAGATTTTTTACCAAAAAGAGCTGGAACCAAAAATAGCTGAAAAGATAAATACTATGTCGTAGTCTATGTAATTTTATGCCACACACCAATCATATACATATACGCAAACTTAGACAGTCGGGACGTCGATTTGAGTTGCCTATAATTATGCACGCACATCCCTTGCTCCGCTTTGCCTGTATTGATTTTTGTACGTATACGTATAATATAAGGTACAAACAATGAGATCACCGTAATTACCGCATCATCGGACAATCAATATGAAAGCAAAGCTCGCCTGTTGTTAATCAAATATTAAATTAAAAGGCTGTGAGGTTTCAAGTTCGTGGGTTAAACAGAAAAATATTCATAATCTTATAAATAATAATTTGAAGAGGACTTGCCAGAATGGTTGCAAAGGAGCTTGAAGAGCGACTAGCGCCTATGCTTATTATACAAGTTCTAAAAAAGAAATTATTATTATTCGAGGAACCGATGCCCTCAAAAAATCTGTGCTGTGCACGCAATATAAAAATGTCCTTTCTCCCATAGACGGCGCTGCGTGTCCTTAATACACTGTCGATTATGGGACTGCTCTGTTTTTCTTCTCCTACCGATTTTAACCTTGACTCTACCGGATTTTACCGACACACTGGGGATCTCTATTAATATTTTTATTATCATATAAATTTTGTTGCAAGTTTTATGCATAACAGTTTGTTTGATATTTCAACTTTGAGCAGTAGTTCGATCCTATAACATCAAAATCTTAATTCCTCTCAACTATTACTGCGCCACGTCACGGATCTGCGCGGCGTTGCTCTGATCCTCATATTTCGCTCTGCTTTCTATGTGTCTATCAGTTTGTATAAATACAGAAGAGATGTTCTTTGAATGAACAGAATAAACCCTAATGTAACATCTGAAATTTAGCCTGTGATTGTTGCTGATGCCATGTTTTTCTGGCCAAATGAAACCACATATCGTCAGTAAAGTTCGAACAGCGCGTAAGTCATATTTGGCCAGTTTTAACACTCTAATGTCTTTCGATGAAGATAGTCCACGTGCTTTCTAATCTAGGAGTATATTATATTTTATAGTATACGGATGTATAAATTACTCTTTACAGACGTTTCGGCCACCACTGTGGCCCATCTCAAAGTACACATCAAAGTTGGCATTTTGATCTGACTTTAAAAATAGGCTACCGGGGTGACCGAAACTTCTGTAAACAGTAATTTCTACATATGTGGTTTAATTTGGGCAGACGAACATGACAGCCAACGTGGGATGATCCAGCGGTGTGGCGCTTTTATTCTGAATAGCAGTAGCTGCGGATTAACTTTGACAGATCGCAACATCAATCAGATCAAAGTGACAGCCAAATGAAAACTGCTGTCGGACTGTAGTTTGTTCGAAAATGAGATATTATGTTTTTTGGATGTGCTGCTGCTTTCGTCCGCCCAACCAAAGACCGCCATCCACAGACAGCCGCCTCGTGCTTTTTCGACAACTCATCAACATGGCTTGGTCGCTGGAACAATAAACGAAAGCATAGCAACTATCCTCTGTCCAGGATATAAGGTCTTATTTCGATATGGTCTAACTTGTGCTGAACATAATCCTTTATGAATTAATGACAACGTTGCTTGGGACTCGTGGGAGAGTCAACCTGCATGACGCCATTTTTTAATGACTCCCTCTGCTACTTCACTGTTTGAATAGATACATCACTCCTCTGTTGACTACTTCTATGAGATGGTCGTAATAAAAGGATTTTCCCACTATCCTCGATGGTTGCCGGTGTATAGCTGATGGTTAATGGCAATGTTATTTATAATTCTTAGCAGGTGTAGGTACCTCTATTATATAATTTGCGTCTATCGCCAGCTATCTGAAATTCTGTTTAAATATCGCATTGTATTAAGTATTAATTTGTACCATTTATTACTTTTTGGTTTTCATGGGAATGAGCATTTATCCTCAAATTAATAATCATAATAATTGTAGATAGTACAGTCATTACATTACTTCTTTCAACAAAACAATATGAAAATCCGGAACATCGGGCTTACCCTGGTTATTCTTGAAAATAACTCTCTTCAACATTATGAAGACAACCTAGAATATTTTTTAATGCAATAATGACACCCAATTAATATTTTTGGAAAGTGTTGAATTTTATCTCAAAAAATATATCGTTCTTTGATTTCAGTAAGATGAACCGTTTTTGTTCAAAAATTTATATCCGGGGTCTCTGATTACGATTACTTTATTAAAATTACTATATCTAGGAAATGGAGGAACCAATATATCGGTATCAGTATATTAATTGGTGCAACAGTATGAAAATAAGATTTTTCTCAAATAAGGCTCATTCTACGAAAATATTTAATTTTTCTTGGGTCATTATGGCACTAGGTGAAGCCTTAAGCCTAACACTGTCCTTCAAGATCCTGCAAGAGCCTATATCTCCGAAATAAAGCGATATTTCGAAAATAGCCTAAGAACGGTTCAAAGAATCGCCCGTGGGATTTTTGCCTCATGTTTTGGAAACATCCTGTATAGGCTGTCTCAAGCATTAAAAATTCTGTGGAATAAGGCGACGATTCAGTCCGTCGCCAAAACCTTGCTGTTTTCACTGAACTATATTGTTCCAAGAATATGATAGGTGAGATGTACAAATAAGTGTAATAATTTATAGTATCATTTTGTATGTATCGCTTGAAAAGCTGCGTCAGTTTTGACTCATCGTAGTTTACCAGGATAGCTATCCTACAGTGTTATGCTGTTTCGAGGAAATTTTCTTACCGTTTGTATTGTATAATATTCAGAACAGGCAGTTTTTGAAAATCATTAATTCTGGGGAAAATAAAACGACCCCTTATTCAGAATTGCAGGACATAGATATCTGAAGAGATTTTATACGTCGTTGACTTTGAAAAATAATATTGAACATTGAAGGTGAATTAATGAGCAAACATATTAACAATTTTTTATTTTTCCCTCTCATCATATATGGATAGTAACATATATTCAGAAATTTAATCTTCGACTAATATATATATATATATATAGTTTTTTCAAAATATGGCACACAGTAACAAGCCTTTTGAGTATATACATTTAAAAACCTTACGAAAAATATTCAAATTATATACATTCGTTATTAATAAGAAGTACTAAAATAATTTGTTCAACAATGTATGCTCTGTTTTGTCCTTAATATCCTACAAGTGGTAAAAAATAATAATATTTCAGCTGGCGAGTGATTATGTCCAAGTAGAAAGATTAGAAATATAGTATAGTTGTTGACGATCAGCGACTTTATAAAAATTAAGTGCAACACTACTTGAATACTTGAACAAGCTGAGACATACCATTTAATATTAATCTGGTTTAGACGAAGCAAAAACATCGCATACGTGGACACAATTTTTTTTCATAATCATGTTTAAATAATTTTTTAAGGACATTACGAATAAATGATTTTTTTTCTCCAGAGTCTTTTGGATCATTCTGAACAAAAAAGTTACTTGGTAACTTCTCACTGAAGTTAACCTTTTTCGTGGTATAAGTGACTTGAAGTTTGAAAACCCTAAACATATTTAATGCTTAAGAAATTAAATTTAGAACAATTGAATATTATAATAAATAAATTAAGATTAATATTTCTAGGGCTGCAAGGGGCCAGATATTTTAAACATTGTTATTCGATTGTTGATAAGGAAATAATCGCCACGCGGGCGGCTAGTATATGGAACATTTCCGAAAGTTATTAAGGCCCTTTTTTATTTAGAATAAAAAAACTTTGCCTGAGAGAAAAAACCTTTTGTGAGTTTTTAAAAATGCACCGGCAGGCGTATCATGTAAAAAACCTATAAAACGTCAAAAAATCCTATAAGATGTCATCTTGCAAACTAGGTAGTTTTTAGGGCGCAAACAGTCATTCCACGTTTGCTCACTAGGATCGTTGTGAACGTCCATCTAAGGAGGAATCACTCAACTAAACTACACGCATTATTGGTTGCATAGTTTTTTGAGGCCAAATGGTTCTTGTCTGTAGTTTTTATCTCTGAGAAGAAAGTTGGTTGAATAGCAAGATGGCATTTGGATGATTATGTGCATTCGTCTGCATGTGTATAAAATCAGTGATATTTGCTGTGTGAGAAAATCATTACTGAAATGAAAAAAACGCTAAGTTTTTGCCTCCTCCCCCGGCTTTGAATAAAACTACTAAGTTGGCACCTTTTATAAGTCTTAAGTATTCGTATATGGCACTAAAATTCACGTATAATACACATATTTACAAAAATACTGTACATTCATCAAATACCTATGTTCAGAAATAACAGAAACTCACTTTTCAGGGCCTATTTACACAAATGAAAGTAAGTAACTTTAAAGCTAGAGTACCAAGTATCAGTTTTTGTTTCGCTTTACACAGCAATACACATAATAAATATCTAATATAATACAATACAAGTCTTATAAAACCAAAACTGTGAAAAAATGAGTAAAACATATACAGTGTGATTATAAAACAATGGAAATATTTCTAGAGCAGAAGGTTAACCCAAAAATAAAAAAAAGTTCCTATGAACATAAGTTCTAAGTGTGCCCCTACGAAGATACTGCTTCATGTACTTACTTCTACGCCACATATTACTCTGAATGGGAATGGAACATTAATATTCATAAAATAAATACTGTTGTGAAGGTGGCATTATTTTACTGGTTACATTATACGAAATTTTCAATGTTAGATTCCATTATCCTTCTGCGTGTTTTCAAAGTAAAAACAGATTTTCTTTTTTCTAACAAACCACGCAAATGTAGCAAAATTTCAAAGGATTACCTACGTAGATCTTTTTGTGCTCCGGAGAACTTTTCTCGATTTTCAAATCATAACCATAAGGTGGCATTTACGTCCCACGTTTATAGGAACCTCGCATGTTGTTTATGAGCCACCCAGTATGGTTTATGTATAAACATGCGTTAGTAGCTTCTGAATGAAATCAACTGAAAGGTGCTTGTGTCTCCTGGTAAGATCAAAATTAAAAAAAATGCGTCGCAGTTTCCTCCTTGCACCACCAGCAGTTCTGATGGTTTTCTTGGAAGAAATTACCATTTCCTCTACATTATCATTCATTTCTACGTCACATAAACCCAGATTATTTCAATAACACACAGAATATTGTTTCAAAAAAGGTAAGCTACATGCCATTAACATATTTATCGTACATCCTTCATATACACAATTCTAAATTATTCATACATATTTACAAGTTGATGTATAGCTATCTTCCCGGCACGTGAACTGTGATAACAATAACAACAAAATACAATAGTTTTTTTCATTCCAAATCAGAATTGCATTGATTTTCTATCTGGGTAGGTTCTTTGGATGAGAAATTACTTTTGCAAAGATTAAAGAAATACTCTGAAAATCTTCCAATTGTCTCAAATCTGACCTTATTATCGGAGTTTCTTGCTCAGACATAGAGAGAAAATGAAAAAAATACTTTTCAAAAATAGTGTCTATTAACTGCCCTAGCTAATTCAGAAAAGGGGGTAACGTAACGTAAGTTTGTCCTCCATTGCCGTTTTCCGCTTTTAGTTCTTTAAGTCGCCCATCATCATGATAACCTTGGTCGTACTTTGGTGAGCCATTCCCATATCTAAAAGCAAAAAATATTTCAATAAGAAATCACTAAATTTGTACAGGAAATTAAATTTCATTTGAGAAAAGAAAAGGAAAATATAGGCTGAGAAAAACCTTTGGATACCTCGTAAGGCAAATTGATCTCACACGTTAAAAAAATGCCCATATCTCTACGAAAAAAATAAAAATGATCATTAAAGAAATATAGAATTTATTAGCTATTTCCTAAGTATTTATCAAGGATTCACTATTCTTTCCATTAAACATATTTTACTAGTTATATTTGCTTTCAGAATTGTGTTATTTTTGTGCCCAAATTTTTCATTCATGTGTCAAAAAATAAATGAGTTTTGGTGGAACAACGCATGTCTATTTATATAAGAATAGATACTCAGAGCATCAAATTATTTATCACAATATTTTTTTACGTGGTAAATATTTTCATTTACCAAAATTGATGGAAACATTTTCAATCAGAGTATAAAAAGATTTCCGTCTTATATGAATCCAAGTTGACATTTTCCTTTTCAGAAATAACGATGGCAATGGCAATGCTAATGTGTGGTAAAGCAGCTGCTAAACACTTAAAAAGGATAAATAAAAGTAGGTGCTTTATATTTGATTAGAAGATACGAGGGATTGGCCTGTCATATGTTGCTTGTAGTTAATATTCGAAGTTCTCGTCATTGATTCAAAAACACCAGCTTGTTAATTTCATCCTAATATGAGGTATTCGAGAATCATCCATGACAGGCTTTGCATGAGATAAACAAAGTGAGGCGGAGCGTGATAAAAACATCCTAAAACGTTCTGAATATACTCGCGAAGCATCAGCAGCGTCTTAACACTCATCGTAAACTAAAATAAAATCGACGAATTCATTATTTGTCATTTTTCAAATTTATATAAACATCAACAGTACACTGAGTGAAAATATGATTGTTAAATGCGGAGTTCCACAAGGAACCGTATTAGGACCGATGCTGTTTAATTTATATATTAATGACCTTTTTAAGTTAAAAAACGATGGAGAAATTATTGGTTTCGCAGACGGTACGGCAATTATTTACTCAGACAAAGATTGGACTTTAAACAAAATTGTATTAGATTTTCAAAAGGTTAGACATTTTTTCACGGAAAGGATTTTAACAGTCAATTTTAACAAAACATACTTTATTACATTTTCTTGCGACAACAGATCTTCCCCAAATTTTAATCAACTACAAATTAAAACGTTGAATAGCTGTAGAAACATACAATCGGTTGCTAATTTCAAATACCTAGGGGTATTCATAGATAACCATCTAAGATGGAATAAAGATATCGAAAATTTAGTAAGAAAATTAAGATACCTTATTCCGAAAGTCACATATTTCAGCATTTTTTTAAGCGAAAAATATCTGCACAGGATATATCATGCCCTTGTTCAATCATTACTATCTTACGGAATTTTAGGATGGGGGGAGTCATGGGTAATTATTATAAAAAGAATGAAATTATGCAGAAGTGGATTTTGAAAGTTATGTTGAACAAAAATAAATGTTATCTCTCAGAAAATCTTCACAATGAATCTCAGCTTTTCGACTGCCGGCAAATTTATTTTTATCATACAATAATATATTTATATCCAAAATTGTTACTTTCTATCAGCCACAACCATCAAACGCGATTCAAGGAAACCTCTGCACTAATTCCTAGACTTAAAGCTATCAGCCAAAGATCATTCTATTATATAGGCATACAAAAATTGCTTCCACGTTGGCAGAAGGTCATTGAATGTTATGGTAATTACTTCGACGAATAAATACTGTCTTATTGTTTCTCAATAAAAAAATATATTTTTCTACTAAAAACTGTACGAACTTATTTGGTTACCTGATATCTAATAGTAATCCCAAACTTTTTGATTCCTACACAATTTAAATAATGGTATAGTTCTAGTTACCGTTCTTGGCGGGTCAAAGTAAGAGTACCAGTTTCCCTTTATATATCTCCAACTCCCTCATACATACACATGCAGTTGTCCTGTTATCAATCTTCAATATAAAATCATACAATGCCCGGAAATACGTTCAATGGAGAAGGCCGAAAGCTCGCGCTAAATTTATTAGAGTATTTCCAGGACAAGAATAAAAACAGCGGTCCCCTGTTACCCACTTCATGGGTACTGGCGAGCCGATGCGCTGAAGATTAGTCTGCGCAGTCTTCTGCGAATAAAATCAGAAAATAACAAAGGTTTGTCCATAGTAACATCTGGGGAAACTCACAAAATTCAAAAATACCAGACCCAGTAAGTGATGCCGTCAGAACAGAAATTATGAATACTTTATTCGATATGAGAAGTAAAGGACAATATATCACTACTTCTCCGCCCATCGTATGGAGACTCGATCTGTTTACTTATTTAATATGGTGTTGATGACGTATCCGCCAAGCACGGTGACTACAACTATACCATCTAAACAAAACCATCTAAAAACACCGTCTATAATATAATCGAAAATCAAACATACCTTTCTGGACTATGCGTGATAGTAGTGCCATTATGATCTACATACTCTATCTTGACTCCAATCGACCCATCGTCGGTCGTCGGTGAGTGGGAGGCCTGCAACATCGAGTACTCCCTTCCGCCCCCAGAAAGGGCAGTAGGGGGTGGGCTGGGCTCTCCAGGCGGTGGCACGTATTCGTGGGCGGTCCGGAAACCATCATGGGAGTTGAGCATGTAGCTGTAGCTGTTCTGGGTGGCACCGAATGTTGGATATGTGGAAGATGGTGAACCGAAGCCGGAGTAGGAGCCGGTTGAGGTGTTCAAAAGGTTAATGTGCGAACCTGAAATAAAAAAGGTACTTACTCCAAGCAAATTACCTCAAATATCGCATATGCTTGCAAAAACTAAAGGACCGAAGCGACTATGTGGAAGGATATGATAAACGTACGATAGTTCAAACACACTAAAATGCAACAGATTATTTCATCCTTTTCTGAGCATGTAGCGCCATCTATTTAAAGTAAAGGGCCCTGCACAAAACATATGGGATAAGGGTCCCGGTCGATTTGTTTAAAAATTCAGTATGATATATTTCTTGCCTTCCCGAACAAAAGTGTCCATGGGACCAAAGCAATCCTATGATTAGTTTCTGAGAAATAGGCGGATGAAATTTTGATGATTTCAGTATACTAGAAGAAATATTTCATTAAAGTGCATTGTAGAGATGTGTTGGGAGGTGTCATGTTGATCGTGACCATGATGCTTACAAAATCAATTTCAAGACAAACTGATTTTCATATGTTTATGCTGGTATAGATCTAGCATAAGTTGCTCGAGGATTCAGAAATGGTCAGTCAGTCAATAGGACAGGTAGCTTCTCAGGGGCACAGAAAAGTTGTTTGTGTCCTTGTCTTTGATTATGACCTTTATAAGGCCAAATTGAGGTCATGTTTAAAGGTGTTAGGGAAAGAAGGGCACCAATGTGAACTTAGCTTCAGGGTATTGTATTTTATTGACTGTTAATATGAGTTTATATCATACTCCGGGATTATAGAGAGCATGTTAAAAAACAACATATACCTAGAGTTCAGACACCAGATTCACATCTATAGTAATTCTCAGGGAAATTCTCGTTAATTTCATAAACTTTTTGATAAGATATCCATAGTCGACACTTTATTGGATCTTAAAAACGTGATTAAGTCCCTTTTGCGAAAACCTGTTTCGTCTAACGCTAGACCGGCAGGCACCGCTTGCGCCATTGCTGACATATGTTGCGCTAACGTACCTTCCATAATAATCGGACGACGGTACCAATCTATTATATTTTATATAGGTTCCTAGATTTGGTGCATGCAGTATTTGATTAAATCTCGAACTACCCATCTTGTCTTGGTACCCAAACGAGATTCATTAGCTAATTCTGTGGACAGCTGCCATTTATTTCCTCCCAGAGGTGAAGGCATTTCCCAATTTATACCCAACAATACAGTAAGATCAAGGTATCCTCTATTTAATATGAGTACGTCTCCACTTGAAAAACGCTTAGAATTCCTGATCTAAAAAGTCGCTTTCATCGCCTTAGCTAGACTCATCTAGAAAAGTTGTGAAAGAAATGACTTCGAATGGCGTTTGGCCTATTAGTGAACCGTACAAAAGGAGTCCTTTGTAATCTGGATATAATTTCACATTTTTGGCGATGTAAATATTTTGTTGAGGAAAACGTAAGCTTTGCATTCAATCGATAATCTTTGTAGATTTCCAACTGCAGTAAGAGTAAGACAAAAACTATGCCCTTGAAAAGATACTCGCGCTATTGGTTTTATGTATTCCAGCACAAATTTATAAAAATCAACTTGCCCTAAAACTTTGTAAGGATTATTTTTCGATGACTGATTCTCCGAAGAACTCCGAGAACTACACTCGGCACATTCACCAATTTTGTAAATCAGGCAAACTTTATCTGCCTATTTCTCGGAAACTAATGAGAGGACTGCTTTGGTTCCATGGACACTTTCATTCGGGAAGGCAAGAAATATATTATGCTGAATTTTTGGATAAATCGACTGGGACCCATTTTCCATATGATTTGTGCCTGGTCCTTTCTAATTAGAGAGGAGAAGCACAGCTTATAGTTAGGATATCTCATTTCATCTCGGATGATTTTTTGGGCGCCGATATATGGTCGGCCTCTTCATGTAGAATACGTTAATCAATGCTAGTACTCAGTATTAATTTTGCAAAAACCTTATCCTCCAGTTGCATTTATTTAAGGGTCTCGATTTTCAAAATTTACGTAACGAGCTATTATCAAATCTCATCAAAATTCAAGTTATAGATGGAATAAAGTTTCCTGGACGGACAACTATGTGAACAAACACACGTGCAAAATAGGGTGTAGTTGGTTCTTCCTATGCGTTAATATAAATATATTGTCCAATCAAGCACAAATACATTGATTATCGAAATACGACAACGCGAAGCGCCATCTACCACTAGAATCGACCTTCCGGTGGATCGCAGCCACCCGATTGGGATTGCGTAGATCTCAGCGCGAATTGGAGGTCTGATCACCACGTGACCGCTAGATGGCAACGATTGTACCTGTGGAGTAGATGTGGTCTACTTACCATTTAACAAAATAAATATGCTCTGCTTTCGTTTTTCCGACCATAGACAGCTAACCATGGGCAGCTGTTTCGTGCTTTTTGGCTACTGCTCAGAATGGTCTAGGCTTGGGTCTCTCAGACAAAAGCATAGTAACTCTACACTATACAAAGCAGATCATGCTCATTTTGTTCAATGGCAAGTTGGTCACATTTACTACATAGCTAGAATCGTCGCCATCTACCGGTCACGTGATGTCTGGGTCTCCAATTCGCGGACTGAGATCTACCAGCTCCAACCGGTTGACTGCGATTCGCTGTTTCGCTGAGCTCGATTAGAGTGGTAAATGTCACTTCCCGCTGTCTTATAATGGGTGATTTTTTTGCTAGTATCTTTTTGGCAACACTGTTTTTGACAGATGACGCGTGAATCGTGTCTTGTGTCATTGTCAAACTTGTTCAGTTTGGTCTATAATTTAACCATGAATCGGCTTACGAACGAAAAACGCTTGCAAATTATTGAATTTTAACTATCAAAATTCATGCTCGGTTAAGAGAGTGCATCGAGCACTGCTTCCAATTTATGGGCAATTTGGTCGGCCTACTGAGGGAGCTATTCGGAAGCTTGTGACTAAATTTCGAACCCAGTTTACATTATTGGACAGCAAACCACCAACACGCAGACGTAGAGTGAGGACTGAAGAAAATATTGCGGCTGTATCCACCAGTGTTAGTGACCGTGAAATGTCGATTCGCCGCCGTTCGCAGCAATTGGGCCTCTGTTACTCCACTACGCAACAGAATTTGGGTGTAAAACCTTATAAGATACAGCTGGTGCAAGAATTGAAGCCACACGACCTCCCACAACGTTTCCAATTTGGTGAATGGGCGCTGGCAAAGTTGGAGACAGATCCACATTTTTATCGAGAAATTGTGTTCAGCGACGAAGCTCATTTCTAGTTGAATGGGTACGTTAACAAGCAAAATTGTCGCATCTGGAGTGAAGACCAGCAAGAAGCATTGCAAAAGCTACCAATGCATCCTGAAAAAATCACTGTTTGGTGTGGAATCATCGGGCCGTACTTCTTCAAAGACGACAATGGCCGGAACGTAACTGTGAATGGCGAGCGCTACCGTGCGATGATAAACTCTTTTTGCCCAAAATCGAAGAGCTGGACTTGGCTGACATGTGGTTTTAACAAGACGGTGCCACATGCCACACCGCACACGAAACAATGGCCCTATTGAGAGGCGAGTTCGGTGAACAGTTTATCTCACATTTGGGGCCCGTCAATTGGCCGCCTAGATCGTGTGATTTAACGTCGTTGGACTATGTCTTGTGAGGCCATGTTAAGGCTAATGTCTACAGGGATAACCCAGCAACGATTGACGCACTGGAAGCCAATATTGAAGCATTTATTCGTGAGATGCCGCCCGATATGTTGGAGAGAGTGTGCCAAAATTGGACCTTGCGCATGGGCCATCTAAAGCGGAGCTGCGGCCAACATTTACATGAAATAGTCTTTAAACATTAAATTATATCGACCGTTCTATCGACTCAAATAAAAATTTAATCGTTTTTCCAAATTTTTTGTATTTTTTTTTTTTGAAAATCAAATCATATTTATTAAATTGAAATGGAAAGTTAAACAACATCGATAAACGGAGTGTTTTTAAATCCTGACTCCGTCAAAAACAATATGGGATCATCCTGTTTGCTTACGTTCTTGCTAGGAAGCTTTCCAATAAGCTCACTTACCTAAGTCGTACGAAGACTGGTAACTCCAACTATCAACAGGTGCCGGAGCATTGGCACTAGGTTGCGTGAAGGGAATCGGATTGCTGAAATTATTTCCTATGGCCGCTCCAGCAGGTGAAGCACCTCCAATGTATCCAGTCTTCCGTGGCGGTTCCCTCTTCCTCCACTTGGCTCTTCGGTTCTGAAACCAGACCTGCACTCTTGATTCGCTCAGGTTCAACTTAAGTGCTAGTTCTTCTCGAGCGAAGACGTCAGGATAAGGAGCCCGCTCGAAGGCACGTTCCAGCTCTTCCAGTTGGAAAGCAGTGAATGTTGTTCTGGAACAAAAGATGAAACATGATTATTGTCGTTTGAAACAGTACACTAAGCTACTATGACAGAGTCATAATGCGGCTTTGGATCCGTGAATGCAACTTTGGATCCATGGAGTGCGACTGCTTTTCAGTCCAAAAAATACATTCTCAGTTTCAATGGATACCTTGAATGTTAAACATATTTATGAATTTCGCATTACATTGTTAAAATGGAAGATACTTGTTTTAATATCTCAATATTCTTCGAAATAATAATAATAATAATAATAATAATAAAACCCTCCACGAAAGACATGCACAAGACCATGGTTGAAGTGTGGGGAACAGAATCTGAAAATAATTTCCAGCAATTTCCCTTGGCAACTTCGGTTTGACATTCTTTTTTAATGGATGACTCTAGGTCCTTTATGATTGGGTCACCCGGTATATGCTACAAGGTCCTGTAGCAGAACAATGCTGAATTACCCTGTCATAATCGACTTCTAGTACTTGCACCTGCAGTACATTGTTCCGCAGGCGCGGATCCAGGGGGGAGTCATGGTGGTCATGACCCTCCCCCCCAGGCGAATTTAGTTCTACCGACAATTTTTAAAGTTCCAAATCTCTTAGATAAATCTGTAATGCACACATATTAAATGGATGCCGTACTGGTATTTCCTACTAAACACTGGCAGCACTGCATCCGTCAACTTTGATTTAACTGTAAGCTCATAGATGATAGCGCAAGACTGGTTGCCTATGCGGTCAGCTTGATGTAGGAAAAACTTCGCGCGCGCGCTGTGAGAAAATTTGATAAAAGACACTTTTTGAGGGACCAGTGGCGGATTTAAGGAAAAGGGCCCGGTCGGCAATATGCACTGGAGGAGGGGGGGGGGGGGGGGCAGTGGTATGATCGGCAAATAGAGCGCACTATAACTGTTTTGCGAATAACATAAATTACTGCGATTATTGACAAATAAAATACGGCAATGGAAACTTTGAAAATTGCATGATAACTCAGAAATTAATATTAAGATTTAATGCGTAATGTCATGTTAGATCAATCGTACATCCAGGGGCGTAGCTATCCTAGGGCAAACCGGGGCAGTGCCCCGGGGCCCCGGCTTATAGGGGGCCCCGGCCATGCGCCTCAAAAAAGTTGTTTTTAACCGCCGATCAGCAATAAATTCATTAAGTGCTCATATAACCTAGGTATACTAGAAAGAAAAATAAATAATAAATATAATGATAAATAATGTTTATTTTTTAAAACGCTACATATTTGAGTAAAACGCTTGCGTTCCTAAATGAATGTAGCTATAATCCGTCGGCCCGCGACGGGCTTGGCACCACCGCCTTAATATTACGTCTCGTCTTTGGGGATTCCCCGATCTATTGTTTTGATAATTTTAACTACCCAGCGTGCCCTATGTGATATTGATATGTATCGTAGTCGTGCCGTGGTGCCCGGCGTGGTGTAAAATAATATTACTATATTTGTATTGTGACTATTGTGTCTCGTTATAATAAGGTACCTATTAGAAAAAAAGGTAAGTGTAAGTTATATTACTTAATGAATAAATGGCTCGATTTTGATTTGTGCGTAATTTTGTTTGTAAATGTACATTTGTCCATTACCTTGCTGAGTAAAGGCGCCCGCAGAATTTCCGTAACGTAAGACTTAAGAGTTAAGTTTCATTTAAGACAGATTAAGACTTAACCGCCAGGAATTATACAGAATTCTGATAGGGTGATTTATAAAGTATAGTCAGACTTAAGCCTTAAGGCATGAGAAATTACGTTACAGCTTAAGGCGTAAGTCTGGGCTTAAGTCTTTTGTTACGAAATCTGCGGGCACCTTAAACCCGACACTAAATTCGAAAAGCTTCTTAAAGACTAAAAATGATCTATTGACTGTTTCAAAAATATCGACTAATTTTTTTTCTCTTAAGTATTTAGTATATCGAACAAATTGTAAGAAATGACGAAAAAAAAATCCTGTAAAAGTTACAGCTCTTTAACATTTCTTCATTAACATGGGAAAAAATTGTTTTCAACTTTTGAATTTTTTTCTCATTACTAAATTATCATACGGATGAGTTCATAGTTTACTCTTAGAGGGAATTGAATGCTTTACAAAAAGGACAATTTTCCGATAAACATACTCGTTCAAAAGTTTTTCGAGGGAAATTGAAATTTTCGATGCGGCACCACTTAATATTAATATTAAGAGCTATTACTTTTACAGGATTTTTTTTCGTCATTTCTAACAATATTTTCGACGTACTTGAGAGAAAAAAATGGACGATTTTTTGAAACAGTCTAAGTGATACACAACTATCAAACTATTTAATTCATTTAAAAATTGTGATTGCGGAAACAAAACGCAAAAAAAATAAAAATGGAAGATAAGCGGAAATATCAGTCTGGAGCACAGAAACGAAAATTGAAATTAGAAAAAGGGGAAAAAGCATGCTGAAAAAGAACAAGTAACTATGCAAAATATATATTCTTTTTTTGGTTTAGTATTGATAGATGGAATCTTTTAGCTCTTTTACCAGTGAATCCAGAACAACTTTAAAAACATTAAATCCAACTCGTTGGTCAGGAAGGATATTGTCTATTAGTGCTGCCAAACTTCGTTATCTTGATATTATTAAATCATTAACAGAAATAGAGTTACAGTCTCATAAAAAAGAAGAAAGAGAAGAAGCTTCTTCCATTAAAAAACAAATATGTTGCTTTGAATTTGTATTTATTTCAACAATGTTCTATAAAATCTTTACCCAGCTTAACCTCGCCTCAAAGGTCCTTCAAAAGAAAAATATTGATTTAAGTGAATCTGTGACTGTTTTAGAACAAGTAGAAAAGAACCTTACTGACTTAAGATCTTCTTAGGAAATTTTAAAGATTGAAGCTACGGAACTGGCTAACAAATGGAATATTCAACCGGAATTCAGGCAAAAACGTCAACCTAAAGTTAAAAAACACTGTTTGACGAACTCTTAAGTGATTACAGATTTAATAATACTCAAATTTTATTTAAAATAAATGTTTTTATTAAATTATATTAAGTTGCGACGAAACATCCATTAAAAATAAATGTACAGCCATTTATAACAAATATCCTGAAATATTTGATTTAAATAATTTAATATTTCAGTATACCAATTTGTTAAATGTTTGTAAAAGAGACCTTAAGAATGATCTACCAATTAAGGAATATTTCAATATAATTTTGAGTAAGTATGGGGTACTTGAAAGCGACTTAAGTGAAGTTTACTTAATGTTCCTTTTATTTTTTACGTTGCCTGTAACTACTGCATTTGTTGAAAGATCATTTAAGAAGCTAAAACTTGTAAAAAACTATCTTAGGTCTACTACAGGCCGGATTAGATTGAGCGATCTTGCTTTACTCTCTATAGAGATTGAAGAAGCCCAAACCCTTGACATAAATGATATTATCAACGAATTTGCAAATAGAAAAGCAAGAAAAAGGAATTTTTAATTTTATTATCGCTCAATTTTTGACTTTTGTTATTTCATTATTTTAATTTGTGTTACTTTTTGTTTTTATGACAATAAACAATTTTTTTATTATAACATGATATTTTTTATTCTTAAACATACTCATGAGGGCCCCCAAAAAATATTTGCCCCGGGGCCCCATGACTTCTAGCTACGCCACTGCGTACATCAGCCTTATTTTTGCATTTAATAGTACGCACTAGCACGGGACAAACTTGATTATTCACCAGCAAACTTCTTATGCATAATCGAGTTTAAAAGTTATCACGGATGCTACCGATAATTAAAGGGCGTCGAGCCAAATTTGGAGTGCATGCTATTTATTGAATTTGCATAAAATTATAAGTAAGAAAAAAAATAAATATGATCGATAGTTGTTGTCATGTTTGCCGTGATTAATATTTCATTGAATACAAACTTGGTGAACAACACTAAAATACGTTAAATAACGTGCATTACTACAGGATATATGCTGGGCACTATTTGCGAAAGTGATATTCTCCACATTTATCGCTATTTGCAAATCAATGACGGCAAGTGACCATAAAAAAATTAGAAAGACCTGCACACGTAACCGAAACAAGCTCATGGATACTGCAAAAGGTTTTTTAATTGTAATTTGATGCAAAAAGTTAATATGATGCTGCTTCAACGTGCCAATAAAACAGCTAATTCAACTGTTTCAATATTCACGCGGATCTAAAATTTTTCTATAACGTAAAATCCATCTAAATTGTTCAGATAAAGTTCGAACTACAGATTTTGCTGGCAATATGGATGTCACATATTAACAGCGGCTTACAATTATATGCACAATAGTGTCTGCTGCGCACTGTTACCTCTGTTTTTTTTACTATATGTCTATATAACCTGAATCAAGTAGAGGCTGTGAGATCAAACATTTTTTATTCAATACAAAATAGCAGAATTATTATAATTTGAATCCGCGTCTTGATTTTCGTTCAGCAAAAACTTCCATCGTAGAATCCAAATTGAGTGTATTAGCTACTGATCTTTCGATATGAAGGATAGAGAAGTTGTTGTCTTCAGCCAAAGAAGCTCGACGGTATTCTTTAATAATTTTCAAACATCTCATGACACGTTCAGCACTAGCTGAGCCGATAGGCAAAGTCAAAGACAATCTGAATAAACTGCAGCTCTCTGGAAAATTGTTTGCAATGATGAACTACAAATAATCTAGCGGACTGTCATTAGTAAAATTACGATTTTCTGAAAAATACATGCTCGTACAACTGGCTAATTCATATTTTAGATCTGTAATGAAAAATTCCGAATATTTTTTCATCAAATTAGTGACGCTGGTTTCTAATGCGTTTTCTTTTAGATTGACTAATTTCTCTGGCGTCAAAAAACCAAACACATCATTCACTTCACGAAATCCTTCAGCACCTTTCAGCCATCATCAAGTCTATTTCTTTCTTTTGCATTTGCACGCAATATTCATTACGCTCAATACTGAATGCCACCATGGCAAATTGAGGAAAAAGGTCCAGTTCATGGAGGAAAGGAGAGATCTTGCATTCATTATATCTTCGCCAGAAGCTCCCACTCTTGAAATTTCATCTTCGATGCAATTGATAATACATTCAAAAAATTGCTTACACGATATTATCACGGAGAGAATAGATGTCATCAAATAAAAAAATACACAGTATTGTGAAAGTTTATGGTTATAAACACTGAAGACGTGAAAAGACTATAATAGGCGCATTAGAGTCTTTATTAGACTGGAAGCGGCTGATTCATACCACGAAAAGAAGAATTGATTTTGTTATTTAACAATGAATTGTTCATTTTTAAATTAGATTTAATATTTTAATCACTTTTAGGCTGTACCCTAAGGGTACAAGAGTAGGGTTGTCATCTGCCATCCGTCCGCCAGTCAATTTTTCAATTTCTATGTCAGAGGCACCGATGTCACACCCCCTCCCTATCCCCCTACCCCCACTCAACCCACCGAACCTCCGAAGACGAGCAGAACATCTTCCTGAACATGAAGTTTTATGACTCCCCAGACCCCAGACACAAATCCTGGATCCGCCGTTTTTACAGAACTTTTTGATCGGCGTTCAGTTGTAATGCACTGTATCATTGTCCCGCATAACTATACACATGAGATGACACAATATAAAAAACATCACATTTTGCACCCTCTCCCTCCTAAAGCATTCGTCTCGGTGAGGGTGACGCAAACCCGTCAGTTGTTACCATTACCCTCACTACTAACGCTAGTGTGGTGCAGATACAGATGGGTGATAAGCGTGTCATGTCATTTTACTGGACCGCCCACTAAAATTGTATCGCACGCTATTTTAATTGCAGAAGAAAGATGAGGGTTACAAATATGAAACTCAGGAATGTTGATAGAGAAGCTATATAAAGCAACAGGCGCAGCGACATCGTCGTCCAAAGGCAAATAGCAAAGCATGAAACTCCAATCAACGTAATTCCTCAACTATGATATGTCTTTTCCTTCATTACTTCATTACTATCTCCCTGATTTTTGCTTGGTATAAATAGATCATTCCTTTGAACAAACGCGCCTCTCACCAATAATTAGGATGAACGATGAACTTTACCCAAGATTCGGCTCTCATGAATGGCACCTTTTCAAAACAATAAAAAATGGTGTGCATTATTCAGTACTTCCCATACAATCACATGCACCTACTAATGTATATTTTTGATCGAATCATAAGTACACAGAAACTGAATAACCGCTAAAAATTGGGGAACTAGGCATCCGTCCAAAAGCTTTTTTGATTACACCAAAAAAGTATTAGAAAATTTCAACGAAGTTACGGCTACTCGAATTTCATTTAAATCGGCGCTGGCGTTGTTGAGCTTACAATAGCAGAAAAATGCCGACAGAGAAACAGACAGACAAAATTTTAAGGATCACAATACAGGAAAGTAGTATAGCTGAGAAATAAAAGTAAATGAATTAATTATTAAGTCGGCATATTATGATTAAACAAAAATACTATACGATTTTACTACTCATAAAAACCGACTTTTTTACGTCTTCAACTATACTAAGTGACATATAGTAAATCCGAACACCCAGTTTAAATGGTTTTATTTTAATAAAAATTGTTGAATGTATTTATCTTACTGTAAATAACAAGTTAAAAAATGTTCAGCCTTATCAGTTGGACATTCCGGTTTTTATACTGTTTTTTTTAATTCACTAACGCTCTAAAAATGAATATTTCAGCCGCAGTAAAGAATCAACGTTGGCGGATTTTGGTTCTTGACATCCTTTACGATCGGCTACGATGCCTAGAGTACGGAGACCTGTACGATTTCGTCAACTTAGTGAGTTTGATAGGGGCTGTATAGTGGGACTTCGGGAAGCTGGACTTTCTTTTCGGGTAATTTCAGTTAGAGTGCAAAGAAGTGTAGACACTGTGGTTAGGTGTTGTCAGGCATGGCTTCGAGAAGGCCGTACGCAAAGAGCAAGGGGCACTGGACGCCGCCGTAGAACAACAGACCGTGAAAATCGCCGCCTAAGATTGTTGGCCTTAAGGGACCGTTTCTCCACTACCAGGTCCATTGCAAATGATTGGTTTGCAGAACACGGCAGACCTATTGGCATGCGAAGTGTTTACCGACGAATGAGAAGTTTTGGCTTGTTTTCATACCGGCCACACTGGGTCCTCCCTTTAACTCGAGAACACCGACGTAATCGCCTTGAGTGGTGCAGACAACGGTCACTCTGGGATCAGGAATGGAACATTGTCTTTAGTGACGAGTCTCGATTTTGTTTAGGCATGGACGATGGTCGTGCCATGGTTAGAAGGCGACGTGGTGAAAGGAGGAATCCACAGTTTTTTGTTGAAAGACATGTTCATCACACTGTTGGAGTTGTGGTTTGGGGTGCTATAGCTTATGGTTCCAGGTCACCTTTAATCTGCATCAGAGGTAACATGAACGCGCAGCGTTATATCCACGAAGTTCTAGAACCCCATCTTTTACCCTATCTTGACACCCTGGCAGATCCAACTTTCCAACAAGATAATGCCCGACCACATGTTGCAAGAGTCACAATAGACTTCTTTCAACATAATGATGTCACATTGTTACCATGGCCACCAAGATCTCCCGACTTATCCCCAATTGAGCACGTGTGGGATATGATGGGTAGGAGATTGCTCAATTTGCAACGTCCTCCTCAGACTCTAGAAGCACTTCGAGAGGAGTTGGTGGTTGCCTGGAATGAGATACCACAGGAGGACATTGACCACCTGATCAGAAGCATACCTAGGCGCGTTGGAGAATGCGTAGCACATCAGGGTGCATCCACACATTATTAAAGGTCAAAGGGCTTTAAAGCAGTGCAATCATTTTGAAATTTTTATCATTTACTTATTATGCTTCATTAAGTACTTATACAAAATTTTATTAAAATAAAACCATTTTAACTGGGTGGTCGGATTTATATGTCACTTAGTATATATATAAAAGTATGGTCAATTTATGCACCGAGGGCATATGACACTTTTGAAGACCTCAAATTGAACATAGTATCGGAGTTTGGAAGACCAAAAGTTAGGGAAATAAACCAACCACTGAACAATGTACAGAGAAGTTTTGAACCTCTGCTTATTTATTATCACTGTTATTATCATCAATAACATTTTCATTTGTTGTTCAGGTTTCACCACTCCTTTCTATTTCCTTATAATTTTCGTTCCAACAACAAATTCGTGGCTAACGAAGTAAATACATGGCTGAATTAAGGACTGAAGAATCCATGAAAATGTACAACATTCCAATTTAGTGTCCATATGAAAAAACAAAGTAAGTGATGCAAAAGTCCAATATGGCGTCCTTAAGAAAAAATAAATTTGGTGTTGGAGAACAAGAGACAAAATGTCATATTGAAATTCTAATTATGTAGTGGCAGTGACAATTTATTTTGAAATCCCACTACAAATAAGTCAGCAAGAATTAAAAATTCGATTGTTTCCTCTCTCTTCGGAGCTTTCTAAGTGGCATTTTCTTACTTAAATACGCAACTTGTTCTGAGATCCCAATGGTGAGGGCCGAGTGTGAAACCCCTGGTATACAGTACGTTGCTACACAGGCAAAGTATCTGTTCAATCATGTAGTGCAATACTGTAACGATTGTTTGAAAAATCTTTCAACTAACCTTGTCTTTTTCTTTTTAACTCCGTTGTCATTTTTCTTCTTATCGTTCTTTTTTGTCGTGGTGGTGGTCTGAGTACTCCCAATCTCACTGGAACTCAGATTTTGGCTCTGCAACAGCACCACATCCTCATTTTTCCTCTTTCCAGCCTCGTTATTGTTCACCTGAAAACGAAAACGGGTTGAATAGACTTCATGCTGTTACTCAACCATTTCATTAACTACATTCGCCCCAAAATCAAGAATTGGTGGAGCTCTCAGAAAAGTGTTTGACGTTGCAGACGACCGTTTCAGCTTGACAATAATCGCGTGCATCTAAACGGAGGGCTGCAATAGCTGAAGTAAGGTTATGACCTTGAGAAAGATTTTGCTATTTTTAATAATAATAATAAGACTGTTTATTGCTAAACGACATACAAGTAACAAATAATTAAAGAATGTATCCAGCAATGTGTTGGTATGATGCGTCCTATAGAATACTTAGCAATCAACTAACCTGCTCCAAGTTTTGCTGGAACATCCCCAAGTCCTGATGATGCATAGGAGAACCGTCCAACTTCTGAGGAGACCCCTTGTACTCCAAGGGGGATCCCATGTTCCCAAACATGTCATGTTGCTGTTGTAGCCCCAACATTACCTAAATACACAGAGAAAAACTATTAATCGGTATGTCGAAGATCTGATGTACGTTCAATGAAACACTTTGATCCTTACGTATTAGAATTTTGCAGAACGACTGAACTGTCATCAGTCCATACACACACACAAGTTAGAAAAAAGCATATGTTAACTACGGACGTGTATAACAAAAAAATCAAATGGATCAAATAAATAGGTCCCAGTTCCCACCCATTTTACAACGTTGCAATCACATTCGCCATGCGTCAGAGGCAGCGGCCAGCTCGTGGCAGAATTCTTCTATCTTCGTTGAGCTCGATGCGGTTAATGAAAATATGTCTATATACTAAGTGACATATAAATCCGAACACCCAGTTTAAATGGTTTTATTTTAATAAAATTTTGTATAAGTACTTAATGAAGCATAATAAGTAAATGATAAAAATTTCAAAATGATTGCACTGCTTTAAAGCCCTTTGACCTTTAATAATGTGTGGATGCACCCTGATGTGCTACGCATTCTCCAACGCGCCTAGGCATGCTTCTGATCAGGTGGTCAATGTCCTCCTGTGGTATCTCATTCCAGGCAACCACCAACTCCTCTCGAAGTGCTTCTAGAGTCTGAGGAGGACGTTGCAAATTGAGCAATCTCCTACCCATCATATCCCACACGTGCTCAATTGGGGATAAGTCGAGAGATCTTGGTGGCCATGGTAACAATATGACATCATTATGTTGAAAGAAGTCTATTGTGACTCTTGCAACATGTGGTCGGGCATTATCTTGTTGGAAAGTTGGATCTGCCATGGTGTCAAGATAGGGTAAAAGATGGGGTTCTAGAACTTCGTGGATATAACGCTGCACGTTCATGTTACATCTGATGAAGATTAAAGGTGACCTGGAACCATAAGCTATAGCACCACAAACCATAACTCCAACAGTGTGATAAACATGTCTTTCAACCAAAAACTGTGGATTCCTCCTTTCACCACGTCGCCTTCTAACCCTGACACGACCATCGTGCATGCCTAAACAAAATCGAGACTCGTCACTAAAGACAATACTGTTTCATTCCTGATCCCAGAGTGACATTTGTCTGCACCACTCAAGGCGATTACGTCGGTGTTCTCGAGTTAAAGGGAGGACCCAGTGTGGCCGGTATGAAAACAAGGCCGGTAAGGCCAATAATCTTAGGCGGCGATCTTCACGGTCTGTTGTGCTACGGCGGCGTCCAGTGCCCCTTGCTCTTTGCGTACGGAAAAATCTGTATGCAATGACATATATACGTACCATTCCCCAATATCTGCAAGCCACCACCCCCTATCCATTAGCTATCAAAATAAAAATTAAGCAGGAAACATAACTCAAGGAAGTTTGGACGATTTTGTTTTTTTTTTCAAGTTTTCAAATGTTTTTAGTTCTTGGCGTAGTGTTAATTTTGTGTCAAAACATACGGACAGGCCAACGGGAATGAGTGACACCATTTGTCGTGATGTACATAGGATGTAATGTTCAAAAAACGTAATATCTGATTTCGGATATTTTTCACTTACCTGAATGGAATGTAGATTTTCTTGGTTATTTTTGTTAAGCAACGTGGAAGACAAAGATGGCAAGGGTTGATTGTTGTAGTCCCCATAGGCCTGATCTTCAGCGAACGGCGACGACGAGGTATCCATTTCTGGAAAATGGATTTGTATTGGTAAGGTAAATTGAATTTACACAGTTCTAGTTATTTATCTGTAACCTACAGTGCGGTGATGGTAACATTGCAGATGGCATATCTTTTTTTATTGTAAAAACCTTATGTTCGATTAAAACAAAAAAGTTCGTCTGGGTGGCTCAATTTTAGGTAAAATAACATCCACGAGTGGCAACAAAATGCGCTGTTCATTGAGAGCTACTTGTCTACTTGGATGTTGCTAATTTGTTGTGTTGTAAAGCTCGATTTTTACTATCTGTTTGCCCAGTTCTGCTGATAAGACCTTGGCTATGGTCGAAACATGCATATCCACACCAAAGCCATGTGTATACTGGAAAATATACAGGTACATTGGTTTAATTTAGTAAGTTAAAGTTCAATTTAGAAATCAGGCCTACAGTCAGGAGTGGATCTAAGAAGACGCACACGACCAAGGGCAGATTTAGCAATCTGTATAGGGGAGGCATGTTCATGAAGATCGTTTTCGAGTTATCAGCGATTAAAAATGGATGAGAGCGGGGAGGGAGGGAGCTGCCGCCGCATGCTTAAGCACCTAAGCAGCGCTTCTGAGAGCAAATGCAAAATTGTGACACTTGAAGAGCGGGAGTGGGATACTTCTAGGGGAATGGGCGCAAGTCTCATGATTCAGGTCCAATAAGACAGAGCAAAGTATACCAGCTTGAGGTTGGTTGAAATATCCATGATAGAAATGACGCATCAAGAAAGGTGGATATGAAAAGCAAACATCTACTTATACTGTTATTATCGTAATCAAATAGTGGAAGGATAATTTCAAAACTGGAGAGTTAACAGTCACATGTCAGAACAGATCCTATCTGCTCCATGTGCTGGGAGAATGTAGAGGGCGTTCCACTTTCTAAGCTTTATTATTATTTTATATAAATGCTGAGATATTTGGGGTCATGGAGTTTGATCATGAAGAGACTTATTGAGCGGAGTGATTGCTCCTCCTGACATTCATTAAGAGAGTAGCAAATTTTGACAAAACTAGTATATTAGCATTTGGAGTATAATGTTGGTTCACACGGTGTCGGTAAAAATGGTCAAATGTGGACAAGTTTCCAGGCTTCACCTTCACTACCACTACTTTTTCTTTAAACAGTAAGCAAGTGGAATAGTGCTAAAACAGTTTTTCGATTGGAATACTTAGATAAAGTAGCTTTGCCTGCCAGTTATTCTCCATCACATCGTCCACATCTTTAACGACTGTTTGGAAAAAGGCTACTTTCCAAACACATGGAAACAAGCTCTAATTATTCCAATTCCTAAAAAAATGAAACCCACTGAGTATAATGATCTCAGACCTATCAGTTTATTACCAATTTTATCCAAAATTTTAGAAAAAATTATAAAGTTCCAATTGACCACTTACCTAGAAAAATTCTTTGTACTTCCCGACACTCAATCCGGATTTAGAAAAAATTATAGTACAACATCTGTCCTACTTAATCTGCAAGACAATATTTTAAGTGCCTTAGATAAGAAAATGGCACTAGCCTTAATTTCTATAGACTATTCGAAAGCCTTTGACAGCATCAATCATCAATAATTATTACTTGCTAAATTAAATTACATAGGTCTTGACAGTGTATCCCTTTCATTTTTCGACAGTTACCTTCATCAAAGAACTCAGTGTGTTTTTCTCAATCAAGAAATGTCTCAAGTGACAATAATTCCCTCAGGCGTACCTCAGGGCTCTGTATTGGGGCCGCTTCTGTTCCTCATATATACGTTCGACTTAAGCAAAAGTATTGATAATTCTCATGTCCAGTCATTTGCAGACGATACGCAATTGCTTCATTATTTTAACCCAGATAATATCAATAATACTACTCAAATTTTACAAAACGATGTTAATAAATTAATTAAATACTCTTTAGATCACAATCTACTTATTAATCCACAAAAATCTAAAATGTTATTATTTTGCGCACAAAGAAAAACATATAATGTAACACAGCTCTTGAACATTCAGATAAATAACCAAATCTTGCAATTTTCTGATTCTGCAAGAATTCTTGGTGTTGTTTTTGATACAAAATTAAGGTTTATTGAACATGTTAAAATTCTATCTCAGAAAACCTACCTACGGCTGCGCACTCTTATAGCAAACAGGTATTTACTAAATTTTAAGATGCGTAAAGAACTATGTGAAGCATTTTTCATATCTATACTAAATTATTGTAATATCGTATACTATACTTGTTTAGACAATTTCACTAAAAACGTTATTCAAGTTATTCAAAACAATTGTATACGATTCATTTTTGGCTTACGTAAATTTGATCATGTATCGGCGAAATATCCCGTTCTAAACTGGTTAAAAATTAATGACATGGTCAAGTATCACTATTCAGTTTTTGTTCACAAATTGCAGCTCACGTCTAAACCTTATTACTTGAAGGAAAAAAATTCAATTAATAATGATGTTCACTGTAGAACTCTCAGAGAAAATAATATTAGAATACGCCTGCATACGTCTACACTTTGTAAACGCAGTTTTTCTTACAATGTTGCTATTATTTATAATGACCTTCCTAAAGTATATAAAGAATTTTCATTACCTGTCTTTCGACAAAAAGTTAAAACATTATTACTCAACCCTCCAAACATATAATTTACGTAATCATTCATTTCTTTTTTATTCCATCTTTAATTCAGATTAATAATTTTTTGGTGCATTTGGGTTTGGAAAGTATGCTTTTTTCTCTTTTTTTTAAATTTTACTTTCGATGTAATGAACCAAATCTGTTTGTGGATAGTGTATTCTTTTGAACATTTGCTAGAGACTATATGGTTAAGTGTAATAGTAGCAGCATGCTAAACTTCGCCATATAAGTCTGACATTTGGCTATACTACAATATAATTGTGGATAAATAAAGACGTCTATTATTATTATTATTAAATCACTATATTGGAGGGAGGATGTTTACATTTAACATATCGCACAAAATCTGAATCAGATGTTAAATACAATAAAATGTTATTGAAAGATGATTAACACTAGTAACGAAGTGGCGAAATTTAATGGCAAAAGACCACAATTAACTATGAGAATATATGCTGAAAATTATCATCATCATATGGAAGATCAAAGCAAACTATACTAAAGAAACTGTGTTTTCACAGAAAGCTGACTACTGCAAAGTATTGTACTGGCCTCATATTTTCAAGACTACTTTACTAACGTTTGGGCTATCTCGGTAGCGTTCTTCAAAAGACAAAGCAATTTTGGGACGCACTTATTATGCAAAAATGTGAATAGCGCTACTTAAAACTATAAAAGTTAAAGATCGAGGTTTCGCATTCGTATCCTCTTATCTTGTGTTTGTATTCAAACTAGTTTTGAAATGGATGCTGAAGATTACATACCCTTGTCGCTGGAAGTCCAATAACGAAGAAACTCCTTTATGGTCCAAAAGTTCACACTTTGACACTATTAACTAGTTACCGTACATTAGATGAAGGTAGAATTAACCGGCACTATTCAGCTTCAATTAGCTGAATCAAAGCAATCAAGTTCAATTTTCCCAATAAAAACGGCAAGTAGTGATGATGTTAAGTAGTGAGTAGATGAAATAGGCACACCACCGAGAATGGACACTGACTTCTGACATTATCATTTTAGCCAATTTATATTTAACAAGGTTGATCAGAGGGCCAATACGCGCGCGTTATCGTGAGCTCTCATTGGCTGAATGAGTGAGTTGCGTGCGAGAGCGACCAATAGGGTAGCGGCTCTAAACAAGGGGCGGCTAGGTTTTGATGAAGGGGGCGCCAAGCTTCTATACGGTGTGTGAAAAAAGTATTCTATGCATTATGACATTTTCTGTGTACAGAAATACGTGGCAATATTTATATAGAGTCCAATTGAAACTTCGGCCTTTGGTCAGAAAAGGCCTAAAATTTTGCCGAAGGTTTCAGAAAATTAATACTCGAGTAGTTTCGTGGAAATCCCGTAGAATAAAAATATGAAAATCCACATAACCTCTTTGCTGGAAACAATTAGGAGCTTAGAATTATCTGTTAGTCTGGCATTTTGTACCAGTATGCATATTGTCAAATATTTGATACTCTATAACATTGATTCCCAAAGTGGTCTATATCGACGCCTAGGGGTCTATAACAACCTGCAAAGGGAATTGGGGGTCCATGAAATGGATTTAAATAATTTAATTTTGCCCATAGATGACTGATGCCATGTCCGAATCTAAAAAGAAATGTAGACAGTACAGTGTTGATTATTTGAAATTTGGCTTCATTCCATCATTGCCGGACAAACAATCGCCTATGTGCCTTTTATGCAACAAAGTTTTGGGCAATGACGCTATGAAACCATCTTAACTGCAAGATCATCTGAGAAGATGCCACCCTGATAATACAGAGAAAGATTTGAAATACTTTCAAACACTCAAAGATAAATTTCAGAAGAGACCTACACTGGACAGAATGTTCGCTTCGACGTCACAAAGAAATGATGATGGTTTGCGGGCGTCTTACAATATCTCGTTACTTATAGCAAAATCCGCAAAACCGCATACTATCGGAGAGAAGTTAATTTGCCAGCCCTTGAAGAGGTTTTAAAAACTGTTTTACACAAACCTGCATCTGATATCATTAAAAGAATTCCCTTAAGTAACAATACTGTTGAAAGACGTATTGATGAAATGAGTTCTGATATTGAAAGCTTCTTATGTAATTATTTGCAAACGACCCATTTCTCTATACAACTGGACGAGTCAACTTTACCTGATAATGCAGCATTATTATTGGCATATGTTCGTTTTATTATGAATCAAGAAATCTACGAAGAACTGCTCTTCGCAAGAACTTTGATAACCGACACTGAAGGTGAATCAATATTTCATGTTTTGAAGGATTACTTCATTGAAAAAGCAATTCCTTTATCAAATATAATATCAGTAGCTATAGCTGGAGCACCTGCCATGGTTGGACGTTATCGTGGATTTATAAGCTATTTAAAACAAAATATGTCAGGGGTGTTAGCAATAAATTGCGTCATCCATTGACAACATTTAGTTGCTAAAAATTTGAGTGTTAGATTGCATGAATCACTTCATTTAGTCACTGATGCAGTAAACCTAATCCGAAGCAACGCGTTGAATACACGGTTATTTGCGCAGTTGTGTGAAGAAAATGACGAACACTTTCATCAATTACTCCTTCACACTGAAGTACGCTGGCTGTCGAAAGGCTGGACAAGATTTTTTGCACTTTTTGGGACTATTTTAGAATTTCTGTATACTAAAGATAAAATTTTAAAAGAAAATTTAATGAAGAGGAGAACAGACATCGCCTATTTAACAGATTTGTTTACAAAATTTAATATGGTTAATTTGCGATTACAAGGCGACAGTTTAAATTTGATTACAACAAAGTCCATCTTATATCAGCGTTTCTTGCCAGAGTTAAACTAATGATGCAAAATATTGGACGGGGCGAATTTTCTCAGTTCCCCAATTTGTCACAGACAAGCTGCCAGGAAGACGACGTTTCAACTTACGTTCAACATTTAAATGCCCTCTATTCAGATTTCGAATCTAGGTTTGAGGATATTTTGACTATGGTAATACCACCGTGGATAATTAATCCATATGGTGACATAGAAGAAACGAATGTCATAATACAAGAGGAACTGACTGAACTAAGTACAAACGAAGAACTTAAGGTTCAGTTTAAAAACGGATATCAGCAATTCTGGCTGCTACTTATCCCGTATTATGGAATATAGCGAGGAAATTTTTAATTTCCTTTCCATCGTCATACCTAGTGGAAAGGGGGTTCAGCGCTGTTACCAATCTCCTAACGAAAAAAAGAAACAGACTGGACATCATTAGCCGAGGAGATTTAAGATTAACCCTTACAAAATTGTCGCCAAATGTTGATAATTTATTATTAAAGCATCAGGTTCATCCTTCTCACTAAAAATATTGACTTATTGTTTATGTTATTTTATTTATAGTTTATTTTATGTTTATTGGTATCTGACCAATAAATGCCCGCATTGGGAGTAGGTGCCCGCATTGATTTTTTTAAAGAACCCCCCTTTATAGAAAATATTTTTTTTAAATTATTCTGAAAATTCAAGGATAGGTACACACTAAAATTTGTTAATTTTTTGCCTATTTTTAGATAACTTAAACGTATAAGAACCGGAATTTAATCAAACTAACAGTGAAATTATTGTAGAACATACGTTTATGTTATAATTAATAAACGAACTCGCTTATTGTACTATTTTAAGTAAAAAACTTATTTTTCACTTTTTTTTTATTTTATCCCTCTTATTTTTTTTTTCAATGCGGGCACTTATTCCCAATGCGGGCACTTATTGGTCAGACACCTGTTTATTTAATGTTACGTATATTTTACATAACTGATACAAAATTTTATTTTGAGTAGTTTTAATTTAAATTCAATTAAAAAATGTATAAATTAACATGTGTTTTTACTTTAAGTTTTTAACACTAAACTTCACTACAGTTAGAAATTTACAGGAAATCAATATCATGTAAGTAGGAGGTCTACCCAACACGGAAAAACATGGCAAGGGGTCTACGACACAAAAACTCTGCTCTAGAATAAAAGTACGATAACAGGAAAGCCAGCTTACCATGTGAAGTATTGACACCCGTTTCGTCATCAGTTCCAAAACTTTATGGCCACCTACTGGTTTCTATTTTTGTTAAGAGTTTAGTTCATAATTATGCATTGCAGTCGACTTTAATGCTGCAACTTATCCCAATGTCAAGAAAGAAAATGATCTCTATTCGTTATTGTTTGTCAGCTCGGTCCGTAGGACCTTTGCTCTTGGTTCACGTATCGTAAGTCAGTAGGTGTGTCAAGTCTGGTTGTCCAGTTTCCAGACAAAGTCAGGGAGAAACAAGGAAGGAAGGAGGGATGGGAAAGATGAGGAAGGGCGCCTTGGCATTGTTAACTTGGGAATTTTAAATTGATCCTAAAATTAATTTAGAGATTGGTTGATGTAGACAAATTGTAAATTTCGTTGGACCTAAAGTAGCGCGATTTAATTTTGTTCACAGTGCGAGCCGCGGTCTAATGTGCTTGCGAACGTGCTCGATTGCGTAGTCCACTGACTCACGAAACAAAGTTTTCCTATGCAATTCCACTTGAATAAAAGAAAAATGATATACATGGCTACTTTGTTTCAAAACTTACTTACTCCTAGTTGGACATTATACCCCACAATTACATGTTAAATGTTATAAAGATTGGTGTCCCGCAGGGTACTGTTTTGGGACCGCTCCTTTTTATAATTTGTATAAATAAGATGCTAAAGCTAACTACTTCTTATGCTGATGATACTGTACTTATTCTTTTTGCAGGTTCTAGTTGGGAGGATGTAAAGTGTAAAACAGTGTATGGTCTAGGTATGGTAAAAGACTGGTTACAAGAGAGTAAACTAACATTGAATTTATCTAAGACAAACTATATTGCGTTTTCGTTGACCAATAAAAACAGAACAAATTACAGCACTATTATGTTGGATGATAATTATTCTGTTAAGGAAGTGTCTCAAACTATATATCTTGGAATCATTATTGACCAACATTTAAAGTGGCAGCAGCATGTTGATTATGTATCGAGTAGAGTCAGAAAATTAATCCATAAATTTTATCTACTGCCTGACTTTCTCGATAAAAAAAATAATAACAGTTTATAAAGCATTTGTTGAATCTATAATTAGATATGGGATATTAGTATGGGGGGGATTGTATAATAATGCTCTACATAAACTCATTGTTATTCAGAAATAAATTATTAAAATTATTTTTAAGAAAGATAAAAGATTCCCCACTAATAAACTTTTTACAAAGGATGTGTGTAATATTAGATCCTTGTACGTGATGACAGTATCTACTTTTATTTATAGAAATGAAAAACTACAGAAACAAGTAAGTCATAACTACTGTACTCGTGCAAATGTGGGCAGGCAAATAGAAATTCCCAATAATAACAACTAAACTTAAGATACATAACGTATATAGGACCAGAGATATATAACATTCTGCCAGAACAAAATATTAAAACATTTAGCACCAGCTGCAGAGAATATATTTTTGAAAATACTGCACAATTTGAAAGCTTTTTCTAATTATTGTTTGTATCATAGTATGATTGAACTATTGTTCGGGATATTGAGGTTGATTATTGTTTTTTTTTATTGTATTTTATAATCCAATAAATAGCATTTTCTTTTCATTTGTAAGTCCGGATGATGAAAGCACATACAGGTGGTTTGAACCATCTAGGTACATCTTTCTGTCATCAGGATGTCCTTGATGAAGAGGAATTATATTGTTGTGTTATATATTTATGTGTATTTATAATTTTTGTATATGGTCTTTGTTGGATGTTATTGTTATTAAATAAATAAATAAAAAAAATAATATTGTACCATCAAATCGGATTTTCAATGCAGCTCTGTGAATGTGTATGCCGAAAAAAAAAATATATTTTCGGAATATGCACACACACAAATGTTGATGCCTGAGACTACACCAATATAGTGTAGAAATTTGCAAATTTTGACCACTACGGAAGAAAACGCCACTGACTTTTTTGAATAAGGTGTTCAACCTTACATGAATCACTTCTATTGAAAAATTATTGTCAGTGGCCGCCTCCTGGAGAGAAAATGGTTTGAATATTTGAGATACAATCTGATAAAAAACCTCAATCCGTTATCCATTGCTGGTACCATTGCTTTGAAAAGACGCTGAAGTTTACGTTGAAAATTGTACATAGTGTTTTAGGATAGTTTGCAGTTTTGGCTTTAGACTTAAAACATCTATTGAAAATACAACGTTTCGGTGCCATCTTCAGGGGTAAAAGTGTCAAAAATTGAAAACACAGAAGACGATAAAAGAGTAAAAATATTAAAAAAATGTAAAATTAATATACAGAAAGACTTATTAGTTCGTAAAAATAATTACATATCTGTGAAATAGATGTTAGTAGTTTGAGTGTACGACAACGATTGGCGACGAATATTTGCTATTAAAATGAAAACAAAACAAAGGAAAAAATATACATATCCAAGAATATGTCCCATGTATCCCCCTATAGCCCCACGGTACCCAATGGGTGCTTAGGCCTTTGGCCTTCGTGGTAGTTGGAGTATAAAAAAAAATATTATATAGCTACGTTATTTTTATTAAATTTGTGTAGATACTTGATAGATTATTTGTATCACTTCTATAATTTATACCTGCTAGTAATGTCTTTTTTATATATCAAGGATGTTTCTTCTGAAATAGTTCGATTCTTTTACTAAAATCTTGGTTAACGCAGTGCACATCATTTTTATTACTTATCTCACACTCATGCCTATACGTCCTTTTCTTTACATGTTGTTTAGTCTTTTCTATATATGAACTTGGGTAATCTTTGCATCTAATTATGTACATCAAGTTGGGGTGTTAGGTTTGAAAATATGTTTTTAGTTGTTGCAACAGGTTTATGTAGTACATGAGCTTTGTATTGCGAAAATACTTTATTTATATTTAAAGACCTGCAACATAAGGCTATGATATGAAAAAATAAATTATAAATTTGTTGTATTCTCTTCTTATGCTGGCATCAAATAAAGTTCGGTAGTTATTCTGGGAAAGGATCTTTCTCACTTTCTTTAGGTTAGAAGGTCTGTTATTAGGGCATGACAACGTTACTGCTCGGTCTCTGTCAAACTGTTTATGACTCTTTTTGTATGTATTCGGAATATTGGCATCATAATTCAAATACCTTCCAGACCACACTTTTTTCGGATACCAATTCGTTATATTCAACAGTTAGATGGAGCAAGATAATCTTTCTGTCAGATTCAATTCCCTTTGAGAACTGTAGTCTGATGGAAATTATTGAATTCATTAAAAATGATTTCAATGTGATTTTTAATTATGCAAAGTAGACAATCATCTACATATCTCTTATTAAAAATTGGTTTGACTGATAAACTTTCAAGAACAGTACTAAACAGTTCTTCTATAACCAAGTTTGCAATTGTAGAGGAAATTGGTGAGCCAATTGCAGTGCCAGAAATCTGGGAGAAGTAGTTATTCTCATATTTGAAATATGTTGTCATCAGAGAAAACTCTACAGCAGTTTTGAAACTATTCAATTCATTTTATGAAAAAAATAACAGGAATGTTAGTCAACTTAGATCGAAGCAAGCGCAGTCTAGCAGGCTGGTTTTCGATCACGTTTTTTAGCATTTGTATTTGCAATAATGTGCCGAATATTCGATTCCAAAACTTCCTATCTCGGATTTGTTAGAGTATTCAACTTATCGCATCGTAAAATAATTCATGGGGGTGAGATCAGAGAGCCAATGTTCTCAGATTCATCAAGAGAGATGATACGATCTTCATCAATTATACTAAGTGACATATAAATCCGAACACCCAGTTTAAATAGTTTTATTTTAATACAAGTTGGTGAATGTATTTATCTTACTGTAAATAAGAAGTGAAAAAATGTTCAGCCTTATCAGTTGGGCATTCCGGTTTTTATACTGCTTTTTTTTTAATTCACTAACGCTCTAAAAATGAATATTTCAGCCGCAGTAAAGAATCAACGTTGGCGGATTTTGGTTCTTGACATCCTTTACGATCGGTTACGATGCCTAGAGTACGGAGACCTGTACGATTTCGTCAACTTAGTGAGTTTGATAGGGGCCGTATAGTGGGACTTCGGGAAGCTGGACTTTCT